CGTCCGTACTGTCAGGGTCTTAGATGGTATAAACGTGTCCATTCCATCCAGAATTACAGTTAGGCGAAACTGCACGTTATGTGGTGCAAGACATCGAGAGGTTGAAGCGCCCCCCCCCCCCCCGCTGAATCAGCCCACTGCAAAAACGGCATCAGTGGTGGCCTCAGGGAGGGGGTGGACCATTGGCATTATTAATTTTGTTGGTTTGACGATGCGACTGCTCTTCCAAGAGTAGTGTCATCAGGTCATCGGCAAATATCAGCACACCGGTAGTGATATCAAACGGTATGGTGCGGGGAAGAGCATTCATTTTAAAAGTTTTAAAATATACGTTGTACAATGTATGATAAATATGGTGGTAAAGCCACACCTGGCAATATGGCGGTAAACACACGCCTGCCCACACACGCTCTCTAGGCTGCAAAGTTCTGGCACAGACACAAACTTCATTCTCTCATGTACGATGTAGAGAATGAAAAGAAAAGGGGCTAAGGACTAGTAAGGTGAGATCCCTGGGAATTGCCTGCAGAAACTTGGTAGGTAGGCGGCTTATCAGAGAGAACTTCGACACAAAAGAACCGGTCTCCGAGGTACTACTCACTGTAGGAACCGGCAGATTCTGCTCGAAAAGCAGTGAAATTGGCAGAATCATACAAACCTTATGGCGGGCAATTCCTCGAATTCTGCTCCATTTCTTTATCCACATACCAAACATGCATGAAACTTACCAGAAAAAGTACCGAATTCTGCCAATTTTTCTGCCGGCAGAATCCGCCGGACCCTACGATCGATCACGTGTGCACGCGATCGGCTTCATGCATACCTGTGTTACATAATCATTGTAGATCCGGTTCTGACCCTCTTTATTCTTGGGAGTTGTCTTAGTTTTCTTGTCGTGTATTCGTTGTTCGCTCCAGGATGTCTTCTCGATATCCCGCTCTCATAAAATTTGTAGCTCCCATTCTGTTCTTCTTCTTAGCTTTCTTCCCTTTTTTTATACTCTTTTATGTTTCAACTTCTGCCCATGGTGGTACGTCTCCACCTGTCCTTGTGAACAAACAACATGATTGTTTCAACAAAACAAGGTCTGTTTTTCTCAAGGTTTGGAGACTCCACTGTAGCCAATACTTGAATCCATACATTTGAGCTAACGTATATCAATTGCAGTGTAGCCTAGAGACCGTTAGAGAGAGTGTGTACAAGGTGTGTGTACAGGATGTATATGGATTTAAAACAAGGTCTATCTTATAGTAATACCATGTACAGTAACAGCCATGTAGATATGAAGACTGAAGTACATGCATGACCTGTACAAGACTTAGTACAGTGCTGGCAACTGAAATCCGACCCCCTAGCGGTGCGCTAGCCGCGTTAGCGATTCGCACGAGACGCTAGGGGGTCGGATTTCAATTGCCAGCATGCACTGTACATGATCGTATCAAACAAGACTTTATAAATCCAAACTAATTTTTTTTATTAACTGGTTTGAGGGAAAGAGACAAACGGGAAAAGTCTGAAGGAAAAATTGACTGTCACCACCAGGACTCGAACCAGGGACCCTCGCTCGTAGCCAGCGATGCTCTAACCACTATGAGCTATGGTGTAGTCGTCATCCCAGCAGAGGCCGTTCAACATTTTCTTCAGACTTCGTAACTCACACTTCCTGTGAATCCACACAGGCGGGTGGGACGCAGCCCTCACTGTAACCCACTAATAGATGATATGCCAAATAAGCGCTCGAAAAGTTGAGAGGGCATGCGATTGATGCGCCCAGGCTTAGCTTGTCAAGTGCATGGGATGTGCAAAGTACACGGATTTTAGGCTTGTTGCGCGCTTACGCGATCAGGTGCTGCACGTGCATGAATGGAATGCATGCAGTTCCACTGTTACCGCATTTTAGCATTCCGTCGGAGAAATTTTTCGGATGGAGAAAAGGAACTCTGACACCTTTGTGCATAGTTTGCTTTCAATTTTTCATTTTGATACCCGGATATGGCAGCAAGAAAAAGTACACCAGCAATTGCTTCTCGTTTTGCGAACCCACCTGTGGGCGAAACGATTGCTAGATGGACTTTTGCTCAGCTGAATACTTACGTGAGTGAGAGATACCGGTAGATGGAAAGCGAGATGATTTGTTGCAGAGGTAAGACCGAAAGATTTTATTTTATTCCCAACGCCCCAGAGCCTAGGACAGGGGAAAATGATGGCAGTCGGCGCCGAGCAGCGAAAGGGCGATGAAAATCCGTTCCTCCTTCACTGGTCGCTACAGCAGCAAATACCTTGACACCATCTGCATCGGGAACTGAAGAAGCTGCTTCTCCGGTGAAGAAAAAAACAGACGCAGAATTTCCCGCCGAGGCCTGGACGCATCACTCGGATGATTAGCTATGTGGTGTTTCTGCTAGTGCTGTACTCCAGCATCTTCAGAATCGAGAAAGGTACCTAACGACACAGAAACCATTCGGGGATGAGTCCTTCTTCTCGCCATTCGTTTACAGTGTTGAGTGTTGCTTCCCAGAGCCAAATAATTCTGGACCGCAGAGATACTTTGTCAAGGCAAAGTGTTGGGCATCTCAAAAGAAGAAGGAGAGCTAAGTGTGTGCTACAGTGCTAAACTAGAGGAAAGCATGTACTGGAAGTGATGTCTGCATATTGCACTTGCACTGCAGCATTGCATGCTCCTTCCACCACATAGTCATTGTTGCATTGCTGCTGACCCTCAACTATTGTGAGATGAAAGGTCGATACCTGGCATATGCAACCTAGCAACAACAGCAATGGGGCCCAAGGGCCAAGGAACGTACTTATGAAAACTCCTTATCAACCACCTGGGCATACTGACACTGGCAACATTGATTTGCCTTTGTACTGGGAAATCCCGCCTTCCTTATCCCACATCACAGAGAAGGTGCTCCTAACAGAAGCAATAGCAATAGAGCGCCGTACCCAACAGCAGATTGGCAGCGGCATATGGCATAGGCTGAGAAGCAAGACCCTGACTGCTTCGCGGTTTCACCTCATCCCTCACCCGAGTGAGATCAGCGTTTCTTCCGTCATTGCTCCAGGCAACCAGTTTCTCATGTGCTTTCGCTATTAGTCAGGGCCAGCACAAATAGGAGTTGTTCTATTTGTATTGTATTTATTATTTTACTAGGGCAATCCCTGCAGACAATACGCCTTTTTACAGGGTGCTCGAGGTAAGTGGGTAAAACAAAGTTGAATGAAAAACCGAGGCTGCATACTACGCCATTACGTATTGCTAAGGAGGTTACGTAGAAGGTTGTTATAACATAACAGCCTTCTACGCAGCCTCTGCGGCATGACGAAGGAGGCTGCCTAGCATCACCCCGATGGAAGAAAACTCCAGCTATCAGAGACCAGGTACCTGTATGTTTTGGAAAGAGAAGCCATGTCGTGAAGAAGCATTAGGTAGGGCTAAAGCGAGGGTGTACTATTATCCCCTGGTCAAGGCTTCCGTAGCCAGCGTAGGGTGAATGGTGGTACAGCGTAGGGTGAATATTTGACCTAAAAACAAAGGAAACTCTGCAAAGAGGGGGCTGTGGCGGCCATGCACACATTTATAAAACAAGGCAAAAAGAAGGCGAAATAATTATTATAAGGTTATAATGGATGGCGACTGGAATATTTTGTGGCGGTGACAAATGGTGGCTGCTGGGTAGCCAAATGTTATCTTGAGACTCCGCTTGAAGCGTCGAATGAGTGTGTTGTGCAAGGTTACTGATATGATGCCTTGTCTTTGAATCTGGATACTAGAACTCCAAACATGCGACTGTTAGTCATTTCGCTTAATTTTGCTACTTTATTCTTGCAGTCACCCAGATTGCATTGAATACTGTCGAATGCTTCCTCCAGCGTAGGGACAGTATGCCTGGGATATCACTAGGTATGAGTCGTCTGTCTTCAGGCAGCTCCTGTGCAGTACTAGCTCGCGACACGAGGTAGAGCGACGCCGGTTAGCATCAGCCGCTGTTGTCTTGGTGGACCAGATTGAAAACTCCAGATACAAAATGTTTTACCAGTCTTGCTCTGGCGATTTTCTCCCCTTGTACGTAATCTTCTGGCAAGAAATGGTCAGATCACACCACTGTAGTGTCACCTTTTTTTTACTCTCCTTCTCTTTCCTCCCTTCGAATAGCAACAGTCCATTTCCTTCACAGTTCAGGATGATGGAAATTTATGGAAAAGACGAATACCATTTGCTGGGGCCGGGGAGTAACGCCGGTCACCAGTACATCCTGGAACACAGCAATGGTCGTGGTTGGTCGGCATCCGAAAACAAGACAGCGAAAAATCACTCCAGCCGCTATAAAGCAAGCAAAACTGTTTCTTCTATCCAGATTTACAGCTTTAATATTTCAGTAATCTCAATGCCGAAGGAAGTGCTAAAACTAGTAACGGTGGAACTGCATGCATTCCATTCATGCACATGCAGCACCTGATCACATAAGCACGCGACAAGCCTAAAATCCGTGTACTTTGCACATCCCGTGCACTTGACAAGCTAAGCCTGGGAGCATCAATCGCATGCCCTCTCAACTTTTCGAGGGCTTATTTGGCATATCGTCTATTTGTTTTACTTCCAAAGCTGCTAGGCTAAAGTGCTAGCGAGACGCCGAGATCTGCAAGTACAAAAAAAGCAGCAGAGACTGCTACTATCTACTGCTAGTGCAGCAAGTGCAGTCACCATGGTCACTTCAGGCAGTCACACTCAGCGGCCATCTGCATGCATGCTAACGCTCGGCCAGCAAAATGTACTAGTACACAAAACGATTGGTTGCACGTGTAGATTCTACGCGTACATGGTGATGATGGTCGATGGTGTGCGTGTGCTACTGACCGACTGACTGAGTCTGTGCAGCTGGTAGAGTCAACTAGGTACCAAAAAACCTGAGAGTGAGAAATTTTCTGTGTGCCACGCGCTAGGTATTACATTTACAGTCAGTAGATCTACTTGGCGTGATTGTGAATGCCAGAGTGTGACAGACCAGTGATTTTTCGCTTGCGCTTTCTTTCTAGAGATGCAGTTTGGGAATTTCTTTCTTTCGATCCGTACTGCTGTTGCGTTTTGTTTCTGGCTTTCGTGTTTGTCCGTGGCCGGCCCGCTACATTGTAGCCTATGTAGGTACATTTTCTCCTGACGCCGCGCCTGCCCAGTGTGCACGTGTACTGATATGTAGGTGCCCAGCCGTATTGAGCAAGTGTGTGTCGGCGTGTCGAAATCTCTATCTCCGTCGTTTCATGTCACACTATTGTCAATTTGTCACCCGTCGTGCACTTGTTACAGTACTTGGGCGTGCAGAGGCAGTAGATCTACGACGAGTAGCAAGCGGTCAGACTGAGGCCAGCCAGACCACAGTTGTCACAGCAAGCGAACGACCATTACATCCCCTGCTGCTGCTGCTGCTGCATCAACTCCAGGCCCAGTGCAGTGTGGCAGTAACAGTTGCATCACATCACTCGTCTGGAGGTGAAGGCTGCACAGAGAGAGAGAGCGACGTTGTTGTTATAGTCTTTATGCTGTGCTGGTGCTGCTAACCGTGGTGAACATTGAGAACATTATTGGCTGAGCGCGCTACAGGAAACAGCAGGCCGACGTGTCCGAGGTAAGAGAGAAATTTCGAGCAATGCCACCACGTGTGCGCGATTTCGCGTGTGTGTTTGAGCGTCGTGCTTTCTGCTTCTGCTTGTAGGCTCTATACGAAATATTATTGAGCTGTCTTTTCTTCATCCGTGGCGAGCATGTTGGAACTACTAAATCCATTGTGTTGTCTGTCCGGTCGTAATTAGACAAATATACCAATTAGCCCGGAGCGGCAGCGTCTATTATCCTTATCGAGTGATCTTTTATGAGTTCTATTCTATCCGACTCGATCGAGTCGACGACACTTTCCTCCTGACACCGAAAAGGAAATGGTCGGGAAACTGCACGACGCGGAGGAAAACGAAATAAAATAATTCGTTGTATCTCACGAAACTGTAGCGTGTGCCCGGCGGTGATTGTCCGTACCGCCGCTAGTTGCGACAGCAGTAACAGTTGTACTTGTGCATAAACCGTGCGCTGCTGTCGGTCATGTAATATTAATTGTTGAAATCGTGTCGTGCTTGTAGTTGCACAGAGTCTGCTCTGTGGACTCGTTGCACGTACTACTACTACTACCAGTAGTAGCTTGTGGAATGCTGACCCGAGCGGACCTGGGCGGTCATCAGCTACTGTAGTTCGATGATCGTTATGGACTGCTGTATGGTGGTGTTGGTGTTGAGTGACAGGGCGAGGGCAGGTTATTTTTCTCGTATCACTGCCACTGGCTGGCGGATGTGCAGGATAATACTGCGATAAAATGTCAGGAGTGCGTGCTGTGGGTGTTTGTTTGTGTGCGTGCGTGTGTGAGCCTGCCATATCACGTGTGTGCATGCGTGTGTGTTCGTGTGTGCACGCGTATCTGTGCATATGCGTGCAGGAGAGTGAGAGGAGAGGGAAAGCGCATATAGAAGTTTTTTTCTGTTTAGAATTTTCAGCTCTGCACAAACTCAGGATATACTGCCCCCCCCCCCCCCCCCCCCACAAGCACCTGCCACCTGTGCAGATACATAATATTTATGCAAACAACACCGCCGTACGACCACCGAGAGACTGCGATTAGAACAGGGGTACTTGCTGCAAACCCCTGTGTGCTTGGTTTGTGCTGGTGTGGCTTCAAGATACTTCGTACTTAGTTTCCATTACCACTGTGCGTTTGGTGCGCTCCCTTCTTGCCCCTGGTTTTGCTGCATTATGGTGTGCTTTGTCAGCGTAGACGCCGAGACCTTTAAGGTCGGCAGAACAGCCTGGCCCCGCCACCACTTCTCGCACATATTCGGGAATACAGTGGACTTACGTATAAAAAAATAATAAAAAACACACTCCGTGTGCCATGGGCTGTCAGTTACAGTTTGTCCACCAGCATGCAAACACTTCAGGAAGCGAGCGCACGCATGCCCAGCATGCACAGGTGGTTAGCAGACTCATGACTGGGCCGGGTATGTGCGCAGTAGACTGTTACCGCTCGACTGGCCAGCTCTCAGTGGAAGCAGCAGCACAATCACCATCATCAGCATCACCAGGATGTCTTCACTTAGCTGCCAATACCAGACATTGCCCGAAATACTCCGTTGCTGGTCACGCACATGACCAAAAAAGTAATGTTCCTGTCTAGCAGCGCATACCTCTGTAGTCCGGATATTAGAGCCCAAAGCATTGAAAATCAAAACCTAATATTAAAAAGACCTACCCACGAGGGAGCACTGAAAAAGTATTTTCTAGCCGAAGTACTTAACTTACAACACCCGCGCTGCAATCAAGTGTACCAGTTTTTTTTCATCAACTGCAAAAAGTACGTACTGGACAATAGTGCGTCTCACACCATATATGTATTTTAAAGGGGAAGTTAAGGCTAAAATCAAAATTTCACCAGTTGTAGTCTTCGGGGTGCTGAGTCACAG